TTTCTTTATTCCAGAGCGAAGTACTGAGGAAGTCCTCCCAGACCCTGAAGAAGACATAAACCAGGTTGGTTGACCGTTTTAATGTCCGTCTGTTTAATGCTGTTTCTGCAATTTTTTCAGTCCCAGCAGTGAAATTGTGGATTTAAGTTCACATAATGCTTGATAAATGTATTCACACTGTAATTAAACATCTTGACGTAAAATGATAATAATTCATAGAGGTTGAGTTTTTTTAATTTGAGAGAGTCAAAAGTGACCGTAATTGCAGAAACACCCATGAATGGAATATTAAAGAGGCACTCAAGCAAATTAGGTTTTTTATTTGCCTCAAAATAAAGGTCAAAAGAGGCTGAGATATCCTGACTTTTAGTCCAGGGTATCAGTTAAACTCCAAAAGCACTGGAACCTAAATTTCCCGTAATGCAACTTTTGCTTGGATCTTCTCTAATTTGTAAATGTCTTTCGAACCACGGTCACTGTTTCCAGATAGTGTTGCACTCCTCGCGATGAGTGAATGGGTCCTTAAAAATCATTGGCAGGCATTCATAAACAACATCAGGAAATACTGTTGAAATAGGCCTCAGTAGCACCACCCGGTGGGCTGTAATCAGACGTGCAACATTTATGTAGAACTTTACGCCTCCAGCCTAGGACATACTGACCTTTTGAAAAGTAAGTTATACTTTCTGCATCCACGTAGCCATGAGGGTCCACATTATGTCCATACCATATTGTCAAATAAAATTATATTGCGATTATTTTGACAGATATTATGATTGTGATTAGTGGGAATGATCACTTTTACGTCACAATTCTTTCATTTTCAATGCTATTAAAATCATGGTGATGTGACATTTGTTGGGGTCTGTACCAAACAAACATGTTTTCTTACATCTGAAGGCCAGGCCGTCTCTGCAGCACTACAGTACCTCATTGTAATGCTGTTTGTCACACATTTTACCTTGTAGCTTCTGCAATTGTGGTATTGCACTTGGCCATATTGCGATTTAAATAGTATTCGGATTAATTGTGCTGCCCTAGTCTGCATGCCTTTTGACATCATCCAATGTAGAGTGTACAGGACTGCAGTGCTTTACCCATCCATGGCCCTATATGGAGTACCTCAGGGCTTTTTAATAGACAGTGTTTCAGTTAAAGATCTAGGAGAGCTGACCTGTAATCACTGTCTGCTATTTCTCTTAGAGACATTGGGAACACTTTTTTATTAAGGTGCTTATAATAAGCGTTAGTTAATAGGTAGTAAGGGCCTTTATAAGATTCTTATTAACATTGATATATGTAAATAAGACTATTTATTTAAATGTTGCATTGCATTATAAACACGAGTATAAGACATTTGTAAGCACTTATAAGAAACAGTTGATAGACTGCTTATAATTGTCTATGATATCATTACAAACACATTTATTGTGTTTATAAATAATGATCTGTAGTGAGAACAATGCCTTATTAAGGGTAATAAATTGTTATGCACCTATTAACAGATTATGCTTTTGCAGCTCCTCCATTTGGAATGAGCTCTACATGTTGATAAAATGGGAATAAAAAATGAATTGCGTAATACGATGTTTAAGCAGCGCTCTTATATTACAAGCAGCTTAATATAAAGCGTTTCCGATAGTGGAGCGTGTCGAAGGTCTCTCTGAACCAAAGAGTAACAGTGAGTATGATTCAGTTTTAATTCAGCTTTGTAAACTTGGCTTGTAAGTAATGAGAAAGAGCTTGTTAAGATGTAATTGGTGTGATGCACTGTAGCTCCGTGGAGGGTCAGCCTAAGATTTAACACAGACCACAGAGCTACAGTGCATCACACCAATTACATCTTAACAAGCTTGTATCGCCTAAAAGATTCCATCGAGTTTCCTGGAAGGGAAGTCCAGAGCCTTGATAATAATAATGTAGCAATAATAAGAAGTGTTGAAATGCAGGTGTAACCGACACTAAGCGCTTTGAGAAACGGCTCTTAAAATTTGCAGTATATTATCTGTGGAGAGTCTGGGACCAAGTATGAGACGGCTATTTGAAGGCTGATCAGGTCTACCCCTGTTTAGGGTCAGGACCCAGTAGATCTGTCTCAATACTGATCTTTTGCCTAGTCACAGAGGGGAAAGCACAGGTGTGACTAATAACATTAATGATGTCTCTGTTGAGCGCGATAGCAGGACTCTGGAACTGGAACACCTAAACTATTATTAATATCATTAGTTCCACCTGTGCCTCTGTTCCAAATGTCTGCTGTGGGGAAGGTCTGCTTCCCCAAGGGGATCATTAAAGTTTAATCTTAATTTCTTCAGTAATAATAATCATCATCATAATACCTGGGTAATGAAGAGAAAGTGTCTACTCAGCTGTGATGTTATAGTTCCACTGTAGACCACAAGGGGGCAGTGCTGACTTTTCCTTGAACATGTCTACATGTCCAAATTATGTATGTAGTGCCATCATCCTGTTACCGCTCATCTCTATTTAACAACGCCTGTCTTCCTACATTAAGCTAATTATACACAGTTAAAGCAAACAGTACATAGCTTCAGACTTCACAGTTAACATAAACTTCTTACATGTTTTATTTTATGATATAACTTGACACCTGTTCTTATTTTAGGTATGTTTTATTTACCATCTTATTTGACATTAATTATAGCATCTGTTTTTATGATCAATATATGTCTCTTTATTTGTGTGAAGCACTTGATTGATTTCTCAATTTTAAAGCACTTTGAGCTGCATTTCTTGTATGAAAACTGCTAAACAAATAGTTTTATTATTATTGATATTATTATTATTTCCACATTTTCAAATCTTATATAGGCCATTGGTTCTTTAACTTGCAACACAGTATTACAGTGATTTAGTATTGCACTTCCATCTTATACACCTACAATTATTATTATTATTATTATTATTATTATTATTATTATTACCACTAGGAGTCAAGTGAAAAATGAAAACAAAAACTGATATCCCGACTCCCTAGTATGGCTCAATCTCCAAAAAGGCTGGCCTCCAGGCATCCTCCATTTCCCATAATGCAACTCAGTGGCATATTTTGTTAAACTGGCTTGTAACAAAGGCGTTCTTTTATAAATTTGTAGTCTCCAAGCTCATGCTGAAATTGTATTCTTAGAAATCTGCATAGAGAAGAAGAATGTTTTTCTCCTCTGGAACCAATGATCTACCATGGACACATGGTTGATTTTCACCAAAAGCGTGTCATCTCATCAAACTTACCTTTTCCACATACAGTACTGAACCTGCTATATTTTGATATCTGGTATTATGTGCCATGTAGTTTCCAGGTTGTATTGTAAAAATAACTTCAAATCTGCCAACATTGCACCATAGAACACAGAGTAAAGTTGTCCCTTGTCTACCCTTTAAACACATTAATGTGAGCTTTACTGTTCAGCTCACAGTAAGCTGTGTGTGTGAAAGTTTTATGAGGCATTAATACAGGTCTGTGTTAAAGCTGCAATCATTGATTTTAGTCCACTTGGGGGCAGCAAAACAAGTTACAAAGGTAACACTGACATACCGTCACCTTGTAAAGTTGTTATTGCAAGCATGAACCAAAACAGTAAAGTTGAGTGCCGTAAAACCAAAACAATGAGCTAAAAACACATTTCACATAATGTAAAAATACTGATGAATGTAGCTTTAAAAATGTGGTCGGTTAGTGGGCGTGTTGCTTCAGGTAGCAGAGAGGTGATGGAACAAAGTTAAGGAAGGCTGGTTTGAGTAGTGGTCTGTAATACTCTGAGACAGGATGGTACAACTCTGGAAAGTTATCACCAATCATTTTATCCTGAATGTGGACTATCACAGTATTGCATCTTTCATGTTGTGCCCATTTGTATTTCATCAAAGATTGGAAATGTGTGTGGATACAAGACTCTCGGCGAACTTCAATAGTGGTAGCTACTATGGTTGAGTGACTACTTGGCTGAAACGAGTGTCCGGTACAGATAATGTGTATTTTACGAGTATCAAACGAGCAAAATGTGTCAATATCTGTACTTGTAAATACAGTAACTTTAGAAACATGGCACTTCAACATGGTGGACTTCAGGTGATTGTACTCTTAATACTCTTAATTAATGAAAACATAGTTATGAAAATTATATTCCATTTCTGCCAATAGATCCTCCTAAATGTTGTACACTGGACCTTTTAGCATAAACAGTGGGGGGAAAATGGCTTCATTCATTTATGTAACACTTTCGAAGTGCTGCATAAACTCATTTACATCATGAAAGTGCATAAGCAACTTTTGATAATAAAAGTATCGAGATCTGCAGTTCTGGCCCTGTATTACTCAGATCAGATCGAAACCAACATTTTGTGGTATGCCTAATTAATGTGTGTGCTGCCTTTTTTCATTATGTTTTCTCACTTAGGGCTGAAGTTGGTCTGAACATTATAATTTATTTAACGAAATTTGGAATGCATTTTTTTTTATTAAAGGAGTTATAATGATCATTAAAGCCATTATAGGTGTTCGTCAACAAATTCAGGGAACCAAAGATGCCAAACATCTGTAAAAGTACCGCGTGGAAAAAGTAATGTTCTAGCCATTTTTACTAAGCAGCGTTTCCTTGAATGTTTGGCTGTGTTTCCCAGTGTTTAGCACTTTTGCAGCCACTCTAAACACTTGTCTCATGTAGTGTCAGATGCATATTCAAAAGGCACTTTTTGGTATTTTTTCAAGAGCGCTTGCCAAGTTCATCCTAGCCCAGAGAGTGGATTTGAGAGTTTGGGGTTGGGGTTGGGAGGGGTGCAAAGAGTGAGGAGAGGGAAGCCAGAAAGAGACACAAGAGGGAGGAGCAGGAGACATCCCAGCCCATTTATCTAACAGCCATTTACCACAGCGAGTCAATGTGCCAACAGCTCTCTGCCGGCTTCATGGTAGACTGGCTGCCCCTCCCCCCTCCATCCCCCCTCCTCTGTCTAAAGTTGTATAGGCACACACACTCAGTGTCTATACTTAGCATTAGGAGCACATCAGAGCCCGCAGGGTAACTGAGGGGACAGATCCTCGTCTGTGAGCCCGAGCCATGGCTCTGCTGCTGGACAGCTCCCGCACCACGGCAGCCTACTACTGCCTGATCCGCCGCAGGTTCAAGAGGAGGAGGAAGAAACGCTCCGAGCGCAAAGGTACCCCTCCGTATTGTACCTGCTGCTCTGCTCTGTCAGTCTGTTAGTCTGTCTGAGTGTTAGAGGACCAGAGTAATATAGTGACTTTGGAACAGATTGCGTTAGTTCTGCTTCAGTACTGTTTTATTCTCATCATGGACAGATGCATCCCTGAGGGCTGCTTTTTGAAAGTGACTGGTCTGTTTCGAAGCTGCTTGTTGTCCGATACTGTATGTTGTCATGAATTGTGCTGATTAGAACTCTCTGAAGTATTTAGCATTTAAGTTGTAACCCTCTCATTTCACCCGTTACGTTGCTTTTTCTGTGGTTCTGTTATTCCATATAACAGAACCACATAGGCGTCAACTTTAATGGCATAAAGATAGATTTCAAGTGTAAATGATGCTGGATTCTTATGGTGAATAACACATTTTATTCTAAACTCAATGTCATTTTGAATGCATTTTTTATTAAATGAGTTACTGTGAGCTTTAAGACATTACAGGTGTTTGATATTAAACATCTGTTAAAGTACTACGTCAAGAAAGACATTGGAAGTGGTGTTTTATTCACTGTTACTTGTGTTTCTTTGAAGGTTTTATCTTGTTTTTTCAATGTTTAGTAGAGCAGAATGATTATTTTCATTATGGATTACTCCTGTCTATTATTTTCTCCATTGATCGATTAGTTGTTTTGGTTCCATAAAATGTCATAAAGTTGGAATATATTGATCAGCGCCCAGGGAGACAACCTCAAAAGTCTTGTTTTTCTATAGGCATCAACTTTAATGGCAAAAAGATGATAGATTTCAGTTGTAAGTTATGTTGGATTCTTGTGGTGATTAACATGTTTAAACCAAAACTTTTAATGCATTTTTTATTAAATTAGTTATTATGGTCATAGAGCCATTACAGGTGTTTGATATTAGAGGAATACCTTGACATCTTTGGTTCACAAACATCTGTAAAACATTTGAGGTGGTGTTTTATCCACAGCTACTAGTGTTTCTTTTAATGTTTTTTGCTGTTTTTCCTAGTGTTTATTGGGGCTAAATCATTTATTATTAATTATTAATTAATCTATTGATAATTTTCTCCATTGATAGATGTGTTTCTATCAATGTCTTGTTTTGTCACCAGGCATCAACTTTAATGGCAGAAAAATTATAGATTTCAACTGTAACATGTTTTAATCAAAACTCAGTGTACTGATCTTTAGATGGTATTTATGCTTCTGGACCTATAACACCAAAAAATGTTTTAAATATTTGATTTGATACTTTTTTATTTCTTTTATGCCATAATTCTTTCAGAATTACTGCAGGAACAAACATAAAATCTGACATTGAAAAAAATTTTTGAATTGATTAAAGTGCATCAATATTAGAGCCAACAGATCAAAAAGTTCATTTTTGAGACAATATGCTTTCAAAAAGGGAAGCTTTTTGGTAGCAAATTTAATTTGCCAAGCTTGGGAGAGAAAGCAGAATATTCTGTTCAAGACCTGGCTGTAAAATAATCTGTGTTTGGAAATATTTCTTAGTTTCTCTGGGTTTATTCTTTAGATTCACTTTCAACAATACATTTTTCTCAATTTAAGTGAAATAAAATACACAGTTACATGTTTATTTTAATGGCCAAGAGCAGCACTTGTAAAATAAAGTATTTGACATATAAAATGTATTTTTTAAAATAAATAAATCATATAAAAATGACATTATAGTCATTTAAAAACAATGAAAAGTCATCCATCATGCACATCTGTGTGGCATATTTTTGTGTTTTTATATTAACCACTGCTTACTGCTTTACCTGTTAGTATTTCCTACTAGGTTTACTGCCTCCAGTGATCAGAGTGAAGTTTGTTCACTGAATTATTAGTGCCAGTATTCTCAGTAACACTCTGAATTCACCTGATCACTGACTGTGTTTGCATCACAAACCTCTAACAACGTAAAAAATATCATACTGATATGTATGATAGAGTTTGGTTACAACTTTAACAAATATAAAAAAATTAAATAAAAGATTTGGGTTTTTTTATACTGACAAAGGACTTGTAATTCATGGTAATAGTACCAAAGTACCACTTTTGCCATTAGTGGATATAACTAACAATCAGTAGAGTATGTTTTAGAAAAACTAGTCATCAGATTGTTATTTACATACATTTATACATTATTATTAGTCACCTGCTAAAAGTGATGTTTAACTTCCTGGAAGGAAGGTACCTATCATCATAGTTGTGAAGCCGTTGTGAAGCTAAGTGTGGTCGCCTCTGGCTCAGGCATTTTAATATGGGGCCTTATGGAGATTGACTGGCTTCTGGAGCCAGCCTCAAGTGGTTGTTTGAAGAACTGCAGTTTTTGGCCTAACATACTTCAGACTAGTGCTAGAGATGGATTGGTCATGTTGACTAAAGAAGATCAAGTGTTTCAACAAAATACAAACAAATAATGGAGCCTAAAGCAAGTTAGATGTAGTTGTACTACTAATACTGTAGGACTTGAACAATGATTGTGGAGAGAACAGTGTCATTGTGGATTTGTTGTGACGAGGAAGTCTGAACGGCTTCTTCTCAGCATAAACCATACTGAAGATCTCATGTAGCAGCTCTTCAAAGATGTGCTTAGAAACGAGAAGTGTGTTTTCACTTCTAGACTTTAAATGCAGTGTAATGGGGCATTTGTAGCTGGCAGTGCAATCACTCACAGTGTTTGGAAATGGATCTGGATTTTAGAGCTGATACTCAAGGGGGAAAAAAAGCTCTTGGTCCTGATTGGTCCCGATCTTACTTGAGTTGTGTATGCACTGTCCTCTGACCCGGGTTGTAATGAGTCCCTGAAGTACAAAACCTTAGGATAAAGTTTGTGATTAAAATATCTTAGTCATAATTAAGTTTCAGATTTCTATAAATAAAAAGTAATTTTTTTTTTCTTTAAGCATTCATTACTCCACCTTTTGTTGCACACGTGCCTGCAGACCAACGTCTTTTGTCAGTCCCTTGTGTATTGACCATAATTGGAATAATAGAAACTACTGTAAAATATTGTGAAATATTGCTATATGGCTTATTGTTCTATCCCTAGTGTGGATATGGTTAAAATGTCCTACTTGTGCAAGCTGAGTAATTGAACACGAGAATTCCAGAATCCAACTATATAAAGCAGAAAGTCCAAAAACCAAGGTATGTAGCTCAAAACACTGGAAAGACTAATCAGGCAGACACAGGTGACACAGAAAACCAGCTGGAAAAAGACAAAGGCAGGAAGTAAAGTCAATCAAGACACATGAAAGGACCAAACCATGACATAATAATCTATCTTGCCCTTACAGTCAAACAAATAGAGGATATATTTATTTTTTTAAAACTTACTTGAGATTTAGGGAACATGGTTCAAGGGGCATATCCAGCTGTGTCACCACCTGTGAAATCTGATTGGCCACCCTAAGTGCCACCTCATTATCCTTACCTCTTCCACTCTGTTTTTCAGTGGGCTTCGTTTTAAACCCAGAGTGAAGTTACTGGTATCGTATGAAACAAGATGACCTAACGCATCCATTGGTACCAACCATGTCATGTTAGCATGTCTGCTCAAGGGAGCTAAATGATGCTCAAAATTGAGGCATCATTTTTTGGTGATGGAAAAACTGGCATGTCCATTTTCAAAGGGATCCCTTGACCTCAGACCTAAAGATATATATTATTTGGTGAAGAGTGTGTTATGACTTGTTTAGGACTCAAAACTCAAAGTTTAGTACTTGGGACTTGACTTGATATTTGAGTGGAGAGACATGAGACTTACACGTGACTTGCAAAACAATGACTTGGTTTCACCTCTTCTGACTTCTGAATGTGATGGGGTTTTTTGTCAGGAAACTGATTTCTTACAAAAAACACAAGTAATAAAAAAACCAAACTGTGCCAGACATTTGTCAAATCAAGCCATTACTAAGCACTTTGCAGAAGCATTAACTTCATCACGTAGTGAATGTCAGGTGTTTAGTCTTTGTTGTAGTCTCCCTGCTTGAACATGTTTGCTGTCGAGCTACCATCCCGAGGCACCAACCAGCAATCCAGCTCTGTTCGAGTCATTTTCTGTTTCACCCTGCTTCGTTGGCTCTGTTCATGATTGCAAACGTCTGCTAATATTTTCACCGGCTGCAAAACTCAAGTGCACTTAATCCTCGCATTAATTCAAATTTCAGCTATCGCCAGGAAAAGCCAAAGCAGCAGGTGCACTGTGATTTTTCGTCTTTTTCTCCCACTCGGGAATATTCAATTTAGCCTAACTGTTATTCATGCAGAGTGTGGTAAACAGTATTAATGTGTAAAAAAAAAAAATGGAGCCGTTGTACATACTTTGCATGCGGGGCGAGTAAGAAGCCCATCATTTCCGTGTCCCTGCTAAGCGGGGTGTTGTGAGATGAACTGAAGTGTGAGTTTAATCTACTGGGAGCAAAAGTGAATTTCAGACGAGGTATAAGCCGATGTGCTCTGTGAGGCGTGCACGGCACGCTGCTGCTAAGGGATGTGTCTGTCGGCCCAAAACCGCAGCCGCAGATCTCTGTCTGGCAAACAGCCGCCGCTCTGCGATGTGGAGGAGTTGATACAGCCTCCTCCCTACCCCGACTCCCCCCTCCCTCCCCCACCCTGCAGTTGGGGTTTGGCCTGAAGCTCTGCTGATAACCCAGACTCTCCTCCGAAACCCAGAGGCTCAGGGTTGTGAGCTCCGCTGGGGGCTCTGACACACACACATATACATACCTTCTCTACCCGAACTGTCCATCAAAAGTCCCATCAGACAGGTAGAGGGGGAGGCAGCATGAAGGGCAGGCTTATGTATCAGTTTTACTAATATTGACTTTTAATTTAAGCCAGATTTAAGGCAAGATTTTTATTGAAATGCACGCATCTTATCAGCTTAAATCGAGCTGTGACAGACAATCGTACTATCTACTGCTAATAAATATTTGCCCAGGTTAAATTCTCCTGTCAGGTGTCAAATCTTCTGCATCGCC